TTTGGCTGCACTGCGTCTATTGTGTGGGTTTGGGGGCAGAAAGGGGTTAATGCACTGCGCTGCTGCTGCTCCTGCTACTGCTGGTGCTGGTGCTGCTGTGGCGGTGTTTGCACAGCGCACCAAAGTCCTTGGCAATAAATATAAAAATCCTTTTTGTTGTTGCTGTTTCTGTTTCTCGTACAGTTTTTAGCATTACAAGCATTTCTAGTGCGAGTTTCAACGAAATTTTACACTGTTACAAAAATATCTATCGTCTCAATCAATATGAACCAAATAATTTAACTGAAAAGAATAAAGCTGTAAAATTAGCTAAAAATTGTCTAAGTTTAGGGTCTGAAGAATCATAAAACTTTTAAAGTATAAGAAAGCTATTAAGAGTCTTGGAGATTTCTGCCTAACGCCTCTTGTCGATATGGCTAGTAATGAAAACCTCCACCTTATTTCGTTTAGTGTATGGACGGCGTTGAGTGGTACATACTTAAAGTTGAATTTAATAAAGGGAAGGAGCGAGAGCCACCATAACATATAAAATGTAGGCAAAAATATTAATGGTCGTGGAGAACATTTTGAAACTCTATAAGTTTCTGAGCGCCCATTTAACCTGATGAGATGAGAAGTTACTATTAATGTTTGAAATCGTAAGTGCCTAATATTTAATTTATTTCTAACAAAGAATAGTCAATTAATAAACATAGAAACACTCAAAAATAATAGTACATTCAATTAAAAAAAAGTAAAAGAATACATTGAAAAATTAAAATTACAAAAATCTTGTGAAAAGAGTAGAGATTTTGTGAGTGCAACTATTAAAATATTGTTTATTAATTGAATCTATTCTAATCTATATACTTTTCATGGAATCGCTTCCAGTGTTCAACAACCTCAACCAAAATATGGCTGCTTTGACAATTTGATTCCGCATAGCCCGTAAGTCCTTAATCAATAATTATTAAATATACCTAAGAAAATGGAAATTGTAGATCTTAACGATAGCCCAGAGCTACATCGAAAAGAACACATTAACAATATTTGTAGCTTCAGAGCTTCAGCTTCAGAGTTATATATAAATGAAACATATTTAAACTTGCCCGCTGCTTACAAACCCCAATGCCGCAGCTTGGCTGACCATCCCATCTCGAAATATGAATTCCATTTGAAACCAAATCGGATCTGTGTTATAGACATGTCAGCCAACGGAAAAGTACACACCACGGAGCACTTAGGAAGGTCGGGGCAGAAAACTGCGACAACCATAACGCACACTTTTATGACCGCAAGGGGCCGCGTAGAGATTACAAGCGATTTGAATAAATTTGCAATAAAAACAATTTCTATTTTTGGAAATGTGCCGACAATAAAACAATTTTAACGCTACAATAAGATGAGGATGCTTAGCATAACGAGGCAATTGCCAATTGTCCGGCTAAAGTTTAAAGAATGTTACCACATTGGCAACATTGTGGCACAAAGCAGCAACAGCAGCCATTACAAGTGTCAAAACAACAATTTATTGTTGTAATCATGTGAATCGTGTATCTATAATTGCCCATAGCATGGCTCTGTGCATGTGTGTGTGTGTGTGTGTGTGTGTGTGTGTGTGTGTGTGTGTGTGTGTGTGTGTGTGTGTGCGTATGCGAAAGGCAGTTAATCAAATAAATATGGCGTTGGCGTCGCTTCGGTGTTGGCGCTTATTATTTTGCCTCGACGGCAGCGATAACATGGCCAACAACTTGCGCCTTTGATTTACTGTGGCTATAAGTTTTGTCTTCACACTTTCAAGCCAGCATTCGCCCTCGCACTCAATGAGCAGTAAATATTTGAGAATCACACATACATATACACACATACTATCGCAGCAGATATGCATACATATAGTATGGTTATAGTTCAGTTTGTGTGCCAAAACCAAAGCTAAAACCGCAAAGTCATAAAATTACTTTCGCGCATTATAAATTTATAGTTTGCTTTGCCTTACACGCTCAAGCGTAAAAATTTATTATGCTTATGGTTAAAATGTTGTCCGGGACGGCAGAGCTGGGGCTGGTGGTGATGGTGAGGGCGGGGGTGGGGGTGTGGTCTGCAAGAATATTGTTGCAGCAGCAGCTGCTGCTGTTGCCTTGACTGCCGTCGCGGACATAAGTCATTTATATTGTAACAAATTGTGCGCGATTGGCGTTTTTCTTCTTGAGACATTATGTTCGCAGCTGATGTTGAGTAAATGTTTTGTCTTTTGAACTGTGGCAGTTGGCTGTGCGACCCCTAGGTTAAACGGTGTCTTTAAGCTAAACAAAGGATTTTGGCAAAGGGACTTTAATGAGATGGAATTAATGAACTTTTCAGTGATATCAAACGAAAAACAAGCATTCCTCTTAATCTAGGTGATAAGGGGATATATATACGTGTACACATATTATTTCATAATAAGTAGGTGCTTTGCTTGCAGTGTACACTGGTCAAAAAAGGTGATATAAAACATGTGTAATTTTAATGCCCTATTCTTTCATCATTATTATTGGGTCTGGCATAGCTCAACGAGCTATCGGGAATCTCACAATGTGAGTTCGTTCCTTGATAGAACAAATTTCAAATAAAATTTAATAATCATATATAGATATAGATTTGAAAACAAACAAAATCATTACAATTCTTTATAAGTAATATTTACAGCTCAGCTCATTTTACGCTGATAGGGAATCCCATCTTAAATGCTAAAGCCTACCAAAGAAAAGTATATTCTGAAGCTACGGATAGTTAGACAAATGGTTTGCACACAAATTCGTCAAATCTTACAAGACGAATTCGCACCTTTCTGGATTGTGGATTAGAAGAACATTTTCTAACTTTAATTTACTAAATTTTATAATTCATTTTATTGTGTGACTTTCTCTAAATTAGTTTTGTATCTATTACATAAAAATCTTATTTTTTGTAATCACGGGATATGGAATATAAAAATGGAGATGATATATATAAATTGCTGAGCATAAAATGCTTTTGAATGGGACGCAGTACCTTTCTGTATTTTTTTCAATAAACAGAAATCATTTTAATACTGGAATCGTATTGTTGATGCTGAAGACTTCGAGTTCATTTTGTTTTATTTTATTAATGTTGTTATGTGGAAGAAATAGGGAAATAAATAATATCTTCTTACTTGGATGAAAGCTTATACATAGACAAGTATATGTTTAAACGGGTAGGGCAGCAGGTGGCCCCCCCCAAGAGTTCTTGGCTATGAGAAAACAGGCGGAACTTTTGCCATTTTCCAAAGTGCAGAGCAATGGTAAAAGATACATCAAGTCGTCAGTTGTAGATACAGACACTTCACTCCACAGCAGCAACTCACAGCTGCAGATACATTGCTAGAAAGGCAACAAATAAAATGTAAACGTGGCAGGAAATGCGGGCTTGCTCATTATTTGTGAGCTGAGCTGAGTCGAGCTGAGTGCGACGAAGATGATGACAACAGCAACAACAGCAACAACAACAACAACAACAACAACAAAAACGGCGTCAGTCTACGACTTCGAGTGCTTTGCATAAATTTTAAATCTTACACAAAAAAAAAAAGAAGAAATTGTACAAGTAGATGACACAAAAGGACATCGATAGCTGGCAGTTGCGGGAGAAAATGTAATGGAAATTGAAGGGCGGTCCTCTGCCTATTGTGCGGGGCCATTCGTATCCACACCTTTGCCGCAGCGGTGTCAAGTGCGCGGCGGCAGAAATAAAAATGCAATGATACGGAAAAAATTAAAAACATTAAAGTCGTGATGAGGGCAGCACCACAGCACTGGGATCTGGGCGGAACAGGATTTGAGTGCGCAGTTCGCGGTTGTGGCAATCGCCCAGCCTGGAAGATGAAGCCGAAGCTGCCAAATAGGTGGCGGCAACTTCACATTGTGTCTAATGACACCGGCCGCCAGTTCAAGTTGAAGCTACAAAATTTATGGTTGCAATTATGCAGCAAGTAGTCTGGCCGGGTGCGACAGTCGCTTCAGCGTCAGCGTCAGCGTCAGCAATAATTGCGCTTGAAATTTGCATAAAAAATTTTAAGTAGTAAGGAAAAGATTTTCGCCCTACTCCACACTCTTCCACATCTATCCGCAACAAATTGTGCAGCCACCGACCAACCCACTGGGCTGTCCTTGGTTTCAATTGACGTGTAATCCTGTCCTTGGCATTTGCACACTCTGGCTAGCTGTGCGTGCACAAGGACAACGCTAAGATACGCTGCCATTTCGCCCGAGGGTGTCAAAGTCAAGGCGAAAAGCACACAAATGTCAGCAGTGTGGATGTTTCAAGGACTCGCGCTATGTGTGCGCTTCGATATTGATTTAGTTTTGTTGAACGGATATTTAATTAGCGTTTGTAAGTATTTAACTTGAAATTCTAGAAGCAGTACTTAGTCTCAATCGTGAGGCATGGCATTTTCTTTTTGTCATTAAATTTTTTAACTCCTGATTGGGGAATAAATTTAGCAAATCTAGAAATTGAAAATTGAATTATTTTTTATATAGGAAAATAGATTAGTAATAATATATTTTTTCAACTAAGATAAAAAGAGGAGATCCTTGTCGTTATTCGAATGAATAATTATTTCAAAGAAATTGCAATTGGTACTCCGATTTGTAAGCTATTTTCTTATATTGAGCTTTTAAGGCAGTCTTCTATATAGAGCGAAATCCTTCATTCAAAATGTCTTCAAATAAATTGTACTTAAGTAAAGGAAATTTTACAGAGAGTCTGTATAGTATATCTATGATCCATTTTTTTTTGTAACAGCTGTGTATTTTAGTAATGCAGTATTGCTACTGTGAAATAAATGTTCTTCGTTGTTTTGGAATAATTTGGTTTGTTACGGTCATACTTTCTTTTTAAAGCATGTCAAATTTTGAAGGCAAAATAGATGAAGTGATTGTAACTTAACTATAAAAAACGTCTGGAAGGTATTTATTTGTAAAATTACATTATAAAAGTATCTTCAAAGCAATAATTCAGATATACTCATAGCTACCACTCTACTTGTATAATCCATTCTTTCTCTATTCGCGCTGTAGCCCTGAGTTCGCATTTTGTTTGTGTTCTGGTTCTGTACGCTTAAAGTGCACTAAATGGTGTAAAAAGGTAATTATAAATGAGGTATATTAACAACTCGTTAGCTGAAGGTATTTGTTAACAGAATGTAGTTATGGTTGGTTCTCGCGTTTATGTTGGCGGTCTCCCGCACGGTGTTCTTGAGCGCGACTTGGAGCGCTTCTTCAAAGGCTACGGCCCGACTCGAGACATTATCATCAAGAATGGCTATGCCTTTGTGGAGTTTGAAGATCATCGGGATGCAGACGACGCCATTTACGAGCTCAATGGGATGGAGCTACTGCGTCAACGAGTGGTCGTTGAGACCGCTCGAGGCACACGCGGCCAGGCAGATCGCTCCGACGATCGCTTTTCAAAACGTGGTAACAACACTTCCCGAGCATCCTCACGGTACGGACCGCCATTGCGCACAGGGTTTCGTTTGATTGTCGAGAATTTGTCCAGTCGCTTAAGCTGGCAGGATCTGAAGGACTTCATGCGAAAGGCTGGCGAGGTCACCTTTGCGGATGCTCACAAGCACCGTCGAAACGAGGGTTTCGTGGAGTTTGCAACGTTGGCGGACATGAAAACTGCCATTGAGAAGCTCGACGACACGAAGCTAAATGGCCGCCGCATCCGTCTTGTGGAAGATCGTCGTGGTGGACGCTACGATGGCGATGCACGCAGACGTTCCCGTGCTTCTAGTTTAAGGTCACGCTCACGTTCCCGTTCACGATCTCAGTTCAATTGCAGAGCTTCTCGCTCACGCACCCACTCAGCCCACTCGTCTGTCAAAAAATCAAGATCAAGAGAGCAATCCCGCGCTGGCTCGCCAACCACAAAAAATGAAAAACCTCGCCCGACCGCCTGAAGAACATGCAATATTAAATACTATATACAAGTATTTTTTGTATTTGTATTTTGTCCCATCAGTTATAAAGTATTTGGTCATCGCCAATAAACACAAAACGAACTAATAATACTTTCGAAAATAATGTGCTTGTTTAACTATGGGAATAATTTAATAAAAATCTGAGTGGAATTGGAGATATCATGAATTAGAAATAGAAATAGAGTTTCTAAATACTTAAGCAGGATAGTTGCCTTGTATAGAGAGCCCACATCTCTATTAAAAATGCAGCGAAATACTCCCAGTTGGGAATATAATATTGATGTGTGGGTCTGTGGCTTAAATGATTGTAAAAGGCTTATATCTGGTTGTCTATAACTCACATCAGCACTTCAGAATCTTTACCTTCATTCGCCTATGCTTTTTCTATAAGTGGATCATTTAACTATTGCACACGTAATTAAAAAGTTTATCTGTCATGTTTCCTGATTTACTTCAAATGCTTGAATGTTAAGTTTAAGTGTTGTCTTATTTAAGCTGTTGCTCTAGGTTCAATGCATATCCATTTTAAGTATCCTGTGTCGCAGAAAGATCCAAGCTAATAGAAAGTTTTATTTTGTTAGAACTTTTGCATACAAAGCGCAGATGAAATTAAATACAAGCTCGGCAATTGCAATGAGGACACCCGGCCATTGTGGCTTCTAAATTTTCTTTTGCTCTTCGCATTTATATGTTAGCATTTTAAAAGGATTTCCCAAGTATTTGCTTGCCTTTGCGCCTCCGTTTCCAGAGCACCCACACGCGAGCCCAATTCAAATAAAACTTTTCGGGCCAAGCAGCCACAATAAAAGAAAACTTATCTCTGTGAGTGCACCGCTCGGCGCATTGTGGTTGCCACAAAACGAGGCAGCAGCAATGCCAGCTCGTACATACTACCAGACAGAGAGAAGGACGACTGGAGTTCAGAATGAAAAGAAAATAAGTTTATGTTGGCTGATAAATTTGCAGCTTGGACTTGGCTAAAAATAACAGAATACTCGTACTTAGATGAAGATACTCGCCGGTTGGCTGAGTCGGCGCTTAAGACATTCAATTTGAAATTTTCTCAAATTTCTTTGAGCAACTTGTACTCCACGACTGTCTTTGCAATTTGTTTTGTGTGGACTTGCGATTGCTACACTCCCACCCAGCCAACAAGGCGCATAAATTGCATATAATTGCTTTTGCTTTGCCGTTGCTTGGACTCTCGGCAGCTAAGTTTCCTGATACTCCTGCCCCCTTTTCTATGATGTCTTGAGATTTATGCGCACATGCTTGGCTGCCATTTCTTTTCCTAGTTCCCTGCTATTTATATGCAATGATAAAAATTTTATTAAAACAAAAGCCGCATAAATTTTGAAAGCATTTGCACAGCTGCGTTGTCTATTCGATCGCCCAACTGCCCAACCGCCCAACCGCCAAACTGCCAAGCCGGCAAACCGCCGCCCGCTGTGAATTTTTATATCGACTATTTCTCTATATAAGTTTAAGTATATGGCATAATTAGATTTGACCACTGGTTACTGCTGCTGCTACTGCTACTGCTGCTGCTGATCCTTTCTCGGTTTATTCATTCACACTTCGTAATCCGCTTGCACTTTACCGTTTTATGACTTAATACGTTTTATTTCATGGCATTTTTAATACACGACAGACAGAAATAAATCTTCGCCAGCCATAATTCCTGAGCAACAACAACAACAACAACAGCAACCCCGCTTACACATCTACAATTCAAATGTCCTGCTGCTTACGCTTGACCAGTTCCCCATTTTAGTGACATTTGTTGCTTCTTTGTCTTGGTTGGTCGCCCGCCTTGTCCAGGTCCTACTTACTTACATTGACTGCTTTGGATCGCATTGCATTATTATTACGATGACAGTTGGACTCTATTGATTTATTAGCCGCCTGACACTGGTCGCTGTTTGTGGTCGTCTCTGCTCTGTTTTGGGCGATTTCACTCCATTGATTAAGCCAACAATGGAGAGCGAGAGACAAGTCAGGGTCAGCTGTCTCGTAGAAATCGTTGACAATCCAATAACTTCACTGCGAAGAATAGGGTATTTCTTACAGAATAAGGGTAGATCATAGAGTTGTGTGTGACAGGTTGAAAAAGACTACCTATGGTGCTCCAGGAAATGATAACTATAATACATTTTTGGATATGAGGGAACTTCTTTGAAAATAATAAGTTCTGCACTTAATATATTTGGCAGTGGAATGTCGTAGTTGCTAAATAAATGAAGTTGTTTTTCAGGCAGTTCATTGAAATATTGCGTTTCAGAACTCTACGCATGAAAGATAACCTTAAACATTTGTATCGCTAATTACTCGAAAATTCTTAAGATAAACTCATTAACATATTAAAATCTTTTCACTTAAAATATATGAATTATTCCCAAAAATGTATTACTATTCTAATGAAAAATGTACTGTCAATAAATGTATTTTTCTGAATTGAAATTAAAAAAAAATAGGATAAATAGAAAGAGTGATTAATTTACAATAAATAGTAGTAGTATTAAACTTGCCATTGCAGTATTAAAATGCCTATTATTTTGTCTGTGTCAACCATCATAAATCAAGTATCTATTCTTCAAAAATGTCAATCCACTCTCATCACTAACTAGCTCTTTTAATACCATCTGACCTATCTATGAAGTTCATAAAATTCCTAAAAAAAAGCATGCTTCTACCGTTCAACTAAAAAATTAATTAAGAATTGTTAAGCTGTTATCATAAATATGTTTAGTATGAAATAATTCGATTACTCCAGAAAATAACTTTCATATAAATTCTGAAAATATTGTAATTGATTTAAGCACTAATACAACAATCATAGCCGAAGTCCTTTATTTATTTTAAACTAAACTAGGTTTTAATTTATTTATAATCTTGCCAAATAAATAAATAAATCAAGTATCAATGCAAATAATTTCCAAAATATATTACAATGTGTGAGATATATGTATCTATATCTCAGCTGCCATTCTGATTAAAGATGTAACACTTTCAAATATCGAAATAAATTCAATCGATATACATCGATATAGTCAGAACAACTTCATGATTGAATTATTTTCTTCCGATTTGAACGACTAATTCAAATTGCTGTCCATTTAATGCTCGCACCAAACCGAGCTACGAATTGGAAACAGGGTTACAGGAAATGCTTAGCACTTCCAAACACGAAATGGGTTTTCGGTCCATTGCAGGAATTTAAATTAAAGACCAGCAGAGATATATAGGAAAACTGAGAATGCCGTGCAAAAACGCTCGGCATTTTGGCAAATTGCAAATGCTGGTATTGCATTTCAACAGAATGGGCCGCAGACGCCAGCCAAGGCAGTTAAAAGTAACAGCAATAAAACGGTTTGCAATGTTTTGAGATAAAAATTAAAAGACGACGTCATTTGGGCCCACAAATGCCCCAGTGGCTGGCACAGACGCCTGCGTGTGTGTGAGTGTGTGTGTATGTGTGCGTGTGAGTGTGTGTGTGTGTGTGTGTGTGTGTGTGTGTGTGTGTGTAAATAGACATTAAAGGCCCCCCACCTTTGTGACGAGGTGTGCAATTCTGGCTTACCAACTGATTTTGTTTAATTTTATTTGCACAGTCTCCGCCAGTCCTCTGGCAAATGTAACTTTTATTGTTTTCGGTTTCGGTTTCGGCTTCGGTTTCGGACTTGGCCTTTATTTGCTTTTGTCAGTCAAGTTCATTGCGCAAAATGGCTTCAGGGGTTGTCCAGGACGCTCATAAATTCGATTTGTGTAGCATAATTTAAGGCGCTTGGCATTGATGTTGCGCTGATTAGATCAGAGCACGGCATCAAGCGTTTTAATTGCGGCACGAGTTAGTCTCGTCAGCGTCACCTCATCAGCAGCATTTACACGTAATGGCATCGTTAAAGCGACTTTTGGGGCTGGCAAATGAAATTGGAATGTGCCAGGAGCAGATCAGCAGTTGCAGCCACTGGACGCCATCAACTTGCGTTTAATTGTGCGCACTTTTATGACGAGTGGTGGTCGAGCAAGAGCTCGAGCTCTAATCCTGGCGCTCATGTGGCAAAAGGCCTTATCTTATAGCTTTTAGTCGTACTTTTATGAGTTTGCCGTGCCAGCTAAGCCGTTAAATGGTCGAGACAGCACCTTAGCGAAGGAGACCCAATACGTTTAGCGCTTGCAGATGTTTGCTGACGATACTATTTAAGATTAAAAGAACACTACCAAGAAATGAATGGAAGCGGAAATATTGTTGTGTACTGAGCGTGGAATCGAATGCAGATCATGGCCGATCATTGAACGAGAGAAATCTTGGAGTGTAATCTATCTCGGGCCCACCCAAAGCCTTCTCAAGCCATTCCCTAGCCAGCGACGTGACCAGCAAAGCAATGCGAAGATTTTGTATTTATTTTCAACAAAAGAAGCCGAGCACTTTTATGACAACAACGACTGCGACGGCAACATGCAACAAAATTGAATTTTATGAATGGCTTTTGGGTATTTATGAATTTTATTCTCCGTTTGAGTTATAAAAAAGCTCGTAGGGTGGTGGCCAGAGCCAAAGACCGCATGACAGACTAAATTCTATGAATGTAATTGAACATGACAACTGTGATGCAAACTTGTTTCTGCCCAAAGATTGTGGGAAATCATCAGCGCAACAGTGGACGAAAACGCAGACATCGCGTACATATATTAGAGTGAAGAAGGTCTTTTTCATTACACTGAGCAACTACTAATATGTACTGTAAACGGTTCGTTTTAATTTGCGCGCAGAATCTTTTTCTTAAGGGTCTACTTAAAGCCTATTTTTTATCGATTTATGGGTCGTCTAATTTGTGGAACCTTTGAAAATTTTTAGATGTGTTAAGCCAGAAAAGGCAAAAACATGTTTTAAGATGTTTTCAATTATTTTTACACACAAGCGATGTGTGCATCAAAATTTTTTAAGGTGTCAAAAATATCACATATTGAATTTTAATGAAAATTGTTGAAACAAGTTTTTCTTTTGTTATCCTGTTGGTCCATTTGGGTTGGCATTTTCATTGTTTAGATCTTCTTTTATTTTTTTATGTTTAGAAAATTGGAGCTGC